GACAAAGCCAGAGGGCCCTGCCAGATGCAGCCCCTGAGGTGGCCTGCGGCCCCGAGCGTGAGGACTGAGTGGCCCACGGGCAGCGTCCAGCCCCAGGCCTGCACTCCCACACAGAGGACCTGGCCAGGGGGCGCAGAGGGAGAACAGGGCCCGCGGCCTTCCAAGGTCCAGGATCTGCACTGAGAAGTGAGGTCAGCCACAGGTGAGGCTGCGTCCTGCTGGGCCACTCGGGTCCAGCGGGCTTCGGCAGGGCCCCTCCGTGGGCCTAGGGCACTGTGGACGCCTGGCCAGCAGAGGGCGCCTGGAGTTGCTCTTGGGTCTGTGTGCAGAGTCCTGTCCAGTCTCTGCCTGGACTCCCACTGGCCTGCCCTGTTCTCCTGGCAGGCAGCTTGGATGCGTGACTGGCCGGGCCCCCCTACCGTGGTCCCCTGGGCACACAGCTGGTACCCAGTGGGCAGGGGCTCAAGGACAAGGCCTGGCCACCTACCCTTCCCGTCAGCACCCGAGAAGTTGCCAGACACACAGCAAATCCAGGGACTGGAGAGAGTGTGGGCACAGACGGGCTCTCGGCCTCTGAGCTGGCCTCCGTCCACCCCAGAGTACCCACCTGGCTTGTCTCCTGGGGGGGCCAGCGAGTTCCAGCTCCCTCCCTCTCCTGAGACCAGAGGGACTCCAGGTGGACAGACTCCAGGGGGACAGACTCCAGGGGGACGGACGGCACAGCCTCCTCCAGCGCCCCAGCCTCTTCCCTGCAGCCTCACCTCCATGTGCAGCTGGAGGCGCCCTGTGAGCTGTCCCCTGGCCCAGGAGGCCATGCCCCACCCTGACCTGGTCCCCAGGTATCTCGACTCTGCAGTTCCAGTTTGTCCAGGAGTGGGGGCAGCACCGGGTGACGGAGCAGCTGTGTGGCAAGAGCGTCCACCCAGCACGGGCCGGTGTGCTCTTCATGACCCTCACAAAAACACAAGAGGGACTCGTGGGGGGACTGGTCGTGAAATTGGTGGCCATCCACGAACGAGCGCTCCTGGTCGTGAAATCGGTGGCCATCCACGAACGGAGCGCTCCGTGGCCGTGAACGACGATTTCAGTGTCTTTTTTTTAATATTATTCTTAGTTGTCGGTGGGCCTTTATTTATTGATATGTGGTGCTGAGAATCGAACTCAGGGCCTCCCGCGTCCAGGGAAGCGCTCCACACCTGAGCCACAACCCAGCCCTGATGTGGCTCTGACACGCGAGTCACCGAGACACGGTGTTCAAGGTGACAGCAGAAGCCCGAGGCTGGGCGGAGAGAGGCACACGGGACCCTGGCGCCGCCCAGCACCCTCTGCCAGGGGAGATGGGGAAGGAGGAGGGGGACTTCCTGTCCAGGGAGCAGAGGTGAGGGTCCTGGAGGGAGGAGAGACCTCAGCAGGGTCAAGGGGACTTTCCGGGTGGCCCTCAAGGAAGAAAGGGACCGTTTCCTTGGATTGAACCCGGGTGCTCTATCCCTGAGCCGCGTCCCCCGCCCCCTTCAGCACACTCCACTTGGGGACAGGGCCTCGCCGAGGGGCTGAGGCTGGCTTTGAACCTGTGGCCCTCAGCCCCCGGGGTCTCAGGGGTCACAGGCGTGCCCACCATGCCGGCCACTGTCGTTTCTGAGGGCTGCATTGGGGTCCAGTCCGCGTGTGCCACCGTCCGTCATCTGGTCACCCGTCGGCGTCCACTTCTCTGGAGCCTCTCCTGGGCAGACACCGCGTCCCCACCTCCCTGAGTTCCGGAAAAGGGTCAGTGACCCGCAGGGGCTTGAAGGACCAGACCGTGGCGCACCTCGCCCCCAGGGCCACAGGCGGGTTCACTAGCGCAGCTCGGTGGGCCAGGGGACATCCACGCTGGTGGCCTCCCCAGGGCCGTCTGGCTTGGTTCCAAAGGTGGCTCTGCTCAGACTCTGAGAAGCAGATACTGAAACGTGTCATCGTAGGATTTGCTTCAGAAGAACGTGTGCTGTCGGGTCAGAACCAGCGGCTGGGGACCGGGGACAGCTGTGGGGACGAGGTGTGTGCCGGGCGCCAGGGCGGCTCCTGAACACCTCCCCCACAGACCTCCTCTGCCCCACGTCGAGGTGGTCCTGCCCCAGGGACGGGCCCGCAGCCCCCAGGCCCACCCCTGGGCCCTGGAGCAGACGGGAAGAGCCAGCTGAGTCCCCAGGGTCCAGTCTCCAAAGAGGAGGGAGACTTCTCCTGACCAGCCGCACCCTGCGCCCCCGGGTGCCCCCTCCCCACGCGTTTCACACAAAGCTTCTGCGGGCGGCCACCGCGGGCCCTCAGCTGCCTGCCCCGCGGCTGCAGAGGGGTCTTTGCACAGCACCCCCCACCGGGCAGCTGCTGGGCGGGGCCTGGCCTGGTGTTGAGCTCTGTGTCTTGGGTACCTCCAAGCTCCGCTGCACCTCGACTCCCGGGGACTCGGGAACAAAAGCCACCGAGCCCTGGAGTGGGACCTGAAGGCCCCCTTTCCCGGGGGCGGACATTCCGAAACCATTTGTCAGAGGGTCAGCTTTCCTACAGCTAATCTCCCCGACAGCTGGGCGGGTGCTGTGTCCAACTGCTTCCCACAGCGGCTGCTGGGATGGCTGCCCGGGCGGGCCGCAGCTGCTGCAGCGCTGGGGAAGGCCGCCTGGGCCAGGCCGCAGCGCCCCACCCTGCAGCGCCCGCACCCTGGGCTCGGGCCGTGGCCCTGCCTGGGTCGGCCAGCGGGTTGCTGCGGTGTGACATGCAAGCGGTGCAGAGATGGCCCTGTGTGGCCTCCTGTGTTCCCCGCCTCGTGGCCAGCAGTGCTTCCCCGAGGACTGAGAGGCCTGCTCACGTGGGAGCGGGGCCTGGCCTGGCCTGGTCCCCACCCCTGCTCTGTCCTGCAGTCGCCTGGCAGAGGGTCCTGGGCCTGCGCCCGGTCCCCGGTGCCTCTCACCCCTTCTGCTTCAAACACAGAACCACCCCCATCCCGGGGCTGGCTACTGTCACTGAACATCACGCCTCGGTGACAGACGATCCCACATCATAAGGACATTTGAAATCGTCGTTCATGGCCACGGAGCGCTCCGTTCGTGGATGGCCACCGATTTCACGACCAGTCCCCCCACGAGTCCCTCTCGTGTTTCTGTGAGGGACATGAAGAGCACACCGGCCCGTGCTGCGTGGACGCTCTTGCCACACGGCTGCTCCGTCCCCGGTGCTGCCCCCACTCCTGGATGCACTCTGAGAGTGCAACTGCAGAGCGAGGTCTTTCACAATCGCAGGTTCAAGGCTCTGCGTCTGCAGGTCGAGCGGCTGTGTGCAGACCCAAGGCCGCGCGCGCTGCCGTCTGGGTAAACACTGACCCGCCGCCCTCCGCTCCACAGAGAATGTGCTGGTAATTTTCCTTCCCCTGGGGCTCTCCCGGGGGGGTCCGCGTTTCACGGTCAGTTCTTGGGAGGCCCCGAGAGCTGGAGGCCCGCGTGGCGCGAGACCAGAGCCGGGGTCCGTGGAGGGCGCCCAGCTCCCACCGGGTGCAGCCGGGGTGGGAGCCCGCGGGCGGCCGAGGTCTGGGCAGACGCGGTGCCCTGGTCTGGGGCGCGGCGTGGGGCCGGGTGGTGTGGAAGGGGGTTGGTGGACGTGATGAGCAGGCAGGACGGGGAGCAGGAGCCGGGGTCCAGCAAGGTCAGGGCCCTGAGGACACGTGGGCGTCTCCTGAACAAAATGGCTCGTGGTATTCACCAGAAGGAGAGCCCGTAGGTGGGACCGGAGCCCTCGGCCCGTCTGCCTGACCCCGCTGGGCCCTGGGCTCTGGGGCCTCCCTCGACCGGTGTGACCTCTGTGGCCTCACGAGAGATGGGACAGTGGCGCTGTCACTCCTGTGGGCGGGCAGCACCCCTGTTCCCGTCCACCTGCACCTCAGAGGTGTCACCTGCCAGATGTGATCAAGGGGACTGGGATCCATCGGCACGGCCCAGTCAGGCCCAAGACCCCGAGGGAGTGGCCAGGGGTGACGGAGACGGACGGGACCAGGCGTCCACAGGCCGCGGTGCCAGGCGCTGCCAGCAGGCGGCAGAAGCAGGAGAGGGCAGGGGACAGACTCGCCCTGGGAGGCCACCCTGGGCACCGTGGCGCCTGGGCGCCCTGACTCCACAGCGCCAGCCCCAGGACTGTCCTCCGAGTGGCCCGGCGGGGGCAGGTGGGTGCCGCAGCCTTGGGAAGCTGAGGCTGCTGAGCGGGCGGATGAGGCCAGCTCCTGCTGCCCGGGGCTGGACCTGGGCCGTGCTGGGCGTGGTGTCTGCGATCCCTGGGTGAACGTCTTCACAGAAGGGCGACCCCCGGGAGGCCCAGCTGTCTGTCTTCATCCCTGGCTGCTGTAGCGGGCCTCAGGCTGCTGACCACACAAGGCTCACTTCTTGCTCTAGGGAGACCGGACAGGAGAGGCCCCCGGCTCACTGCTCTTCCACGAGGCTCTGCCCCCGTCCCAGGCAGTGGAGACCACCTGGGCTGGAGATGCCTGGGCAGCGGCCTGTGAAGAGGCCTGCGGTGGACCTTGAATGCCACTAGCGTGGACGCCCTGGCCCCAGACCTCTCCACACCGGCCACTCACCACACCCGGGGCTGCACCGGGCTGCACGGGGCCAGGAGCCACAGTGGAGCCGCAGGAAGGCCCTGGACGGGGTCAGAGCCTGAGGCCTGCCCAGGCCTGCCCGGCTCACGCTGGCCGGAGGGCTTGCTGGGGCAGGGCTGGCCGCCCAGGGGTCCCGGGCCCCTGAGCCTCCGGCAGGTCATGCAGGGCCGGGGCAAGCGGGCGTGGCCTGGCCGCCCTGGGCTTTACCACCTGGACCAGCGGAGTCACCCTGGCAAAGCACCAGTGTCACGGCTGGACTCGGGGACCTGGGACTCTCGTGGCCTCCATTATTTCCTTTGGTTTTATTTTGTGTTCTGAGACCCACCTTCTCTCTTACTTGGCGACCATGTGGCCGAGCGCTAGGTACCGTGTGATATTCAGGTCCACACACGGAGGCTCCAGTCTGGGTGGCTGGCGCACACAGGACCTCACGTTCACCACTGGGCTGTGGGAAGAGCGTTTTGAAAACAGCGTGGTATCATTGGGGGGGGGTTGGAATCGAACCCACGGACACTTCACCACGGAGCCACCTCCCCAGCCCTTTTTATTTTTTATTTTGAGACAGGGTCTTGCTAAGTTGCTGGGACCTCGCTAAATAGCTGAGGCTGGCCTTGAACTTGCGATCCTCCTGCCTGAGCCTCCAAGTTGCTGGGATCACAAGTGCGAGCCCATCTACTCTTTCTTTTTAAAAGCTGAATCGTGTTCTGCTGTGTGTCTGCACCACATTTTAAGTCCATTCCTCTGCACACGGACACAGGGTCATTCAGGAGGGGACAGGGGTCCTCTGCTCCCTGCAGTTCTTCTGGGGCTCTTCAGCTAGAGCTGATTTTGGGGAAAATAAATCAAACTTCTATTACGTCTATGTGTCCGTGAGGTCTTCACAAGACAGTGAGTCTGAAGACACTCCCCAAGTGGGGTCCCGCCCAGACCCAGAGCCGGGGTCAGAGGAGCCGGGGGCAGGGCTGTGCCTGGGCAGGAGCTGGGGCAGGAGCTGGGGCAGGTCAGTCGCAGCCCTGAGGACCCGTCTCTGTGGCCAGGTCCTCTTCCAGCCGGCACAGGAGGACCAGCCTCCCAAGAGCAGCGGCACAGCCTGGGGCTGCAGGTGGCCAGGGCCTGAGGTCCCGGCCTGGGCTCTCGCGGAGCTGACCGTCGGCCCTCGGGCACGGTTCTCTGCTACCCCTTCTCTGACGAGGAAGCCAGCCTCCGTCTGTCACCTAGGAGACCCTGGGTCACTGTGGGCCCAGCTGGGAACCCAAGGCCACCCTCACCTCTTCCCTCACCCTGGAGAACCGCATTCCCCAGGGTCTGGTCAGGGCGTGGCCATCCTCCAGGTGCTCCTAAGTGCCCGCTGGTGCAGGGGGCCGGAGCGCCTCCACGCAGCGCCTCCACACGGCGCTCTTCACAAGGAGGAGCACCCCACCGAGCGCTGGGCGGCCTGGGGGCTCCTCTTCCCTGTTGGAAGGTTGGGTCCACGTTGTTATATTGGTACCAGCCACACCGCCCCGTGGGCCTTCTGTCCTGTAGACCCTGGCCTCCCCTCCTCTGCCCAGCCTGAGGGAGGAAGACCACCCCTCAGATCACTAGGAAGGAGGAGATGCTCCTATTTATCTCACGATCGCCGTTTACTTCTGCGGGAGACGCGTACCGTCTTCACTGGATTGTTTGTTTTTTGGAGTTCTTTATATATGAAGGCAGGGTCTCGTTCTTATATGGGTTGCGATGGGTGTTTTTGGTATGTCGATGGCTTTTAAGTGACTCCTAGACAGGCTTATTTTTCTCGAGAATTAAAACACTTGTTTTCATTTGTTTTAATGATCATGTCTGCCTTGAATTTTTCTGAAAACATTTTTGGCAGAAGCCATAGGGCTAGACTCCAACTTAATATTGTGTAAGAAAATAAGAATTTCTGCCTACACTGCACTACAGCGGCCTCGCGCTCTAGCATCTTGGCACAGGCACCGAATTCCTTAGCAAGACCCTGAAAGTTCAAGAAATAAAACCAACAATCAGTAGGGGGTGGCATCAGATTGGAAGGTTCTGCACCACAAGGGGACAGTGAGGAGCCTGGGGAGGGCCTGGGGGGACGGCCGCACCAGCTCCCCCACCCAGGGAGGCCCAGAGAGCCCAGGCCCAGAGCAGGAGTGAGACTGGCCCAGTCAGCAGAGGAAGGGGCGGGCAGCACAGGGGCCCCAAGGTGTGACGGAGCGTCAACGTCCGCAGCAGTCGGGGACAGCGTCTCCAAACTTGAGGGGGCAGAGTGAACCAGGCGGACTTTCCCCGTCCACGCGTGACCACGCGGCCCGCGTGACCACGCCCCGTGCACCCCCACGGGAGGGAAGGTGCACACCCGTGTGCGGGATGTCAGGATGCACCGGTGACATGAGGGCCTGAAGGGACAGTGGGAACCGGCCTTCGGGTCACCTCACTCCAGTCAGAACGGCCATGGGGACAGAAGGAATGGCGAAGAATGTTGGCGAGGATGGGGGTGGGGGACGGCCCCTGTACCTTGTTGGTGGGCCACGCGCTCTGGAAAGCACCCAGGGATCGGACCCCCGTGACCCGTCCCACTTCTGAGTCCTGATCCAAAAGGTGGAGATCAGCACCGGACGGCGGAACAGCCACGGCAGGATGTCACAGCCGCACACCTCACAGTGGACAGGACGTGACCCCGGCAGGACGCCAGCACCAACCGAAGAATGGGTACAGAAAGTGTGTGTGCGTGCGCGTGTGTACACGTGTGTGCGTGTGTGTATGAGTGTGTACATGTGTTGCGTGTGTGCATGTCTGTATGCGTGAGTATGAGTGTGGCATGAGTGTGCATGTGTGCACATGTGTGTGCGTGTGTGTGCGTGTGTGTTTACTCATACTCATGAGTATGAGTGTGTGCATGTGTGCACGTGTGTGCATGTGTGTGCATGTGTGTGCACGTGCGTGTGTACGTGTGTGTGCATGAGTATGAGTGTGTGCATGTGTGCATGTGTGCACATGTGTGCACGTGTGTGCATGTGTGTGCGCGTGTGTGCATGAGTATGAGTGTGGCATGAGTGTGCACGTGTGTGCATGTGTGTGTGCGTGTGTGTGTGTGTGTGTGTGTGTGTGCGCACGTGTGCGTGTGAGGTTTCGCTCTGCCATTTAAGAGGAGAGGAGCTGCGTCCCTTGCTGGTGAGTGGAGGGACCGGGCAACGTCCTGCTGGTGAACAAGCCAGACTCAGAAGGTCCAGGCAAATGTCCCCGTCACCTGAGGAGGCTGGGGGGAAACCAGGGCGTCCTGCAGACGGGAGGGGGCTGGGCAGCGGGGCAGGAGAGGGGAGGACGCAGAGTGGGTGTCCAGGCGCACATTCATGAGTGCACGGGAGGCCAGCAGGGAGCTGAGGGCAGCAGGGAGAGGTGGCACTGGGGACAATGGTGGGCCCGTGCTGTCCTGTGAGCTCCGGCCGCAGGCCCCTGTGGGGCATGGTCAGCGGGGGAGCGGGAGGCGCGTGGTCCTGGGCCCTGGCTTGGGCCGTTTGGAGTTTTAGCAAGATGAGGACAGCAGCTGGGGAGGGCGGCTCTGCCCGCTCCTGCTCGCCTCCTGCCCACTACCCCCCGTCCTCCAGAGCTGTCCCGGGCTGTCTCCGTGGGCCTCTTTCTGACCATGACCCTTTCTTACAGCAGAAGGGCGTTGGGTGGGGAGCCTCTAGGACGTGGCCTGCCCAGCACCGGGCCCTGGGGACCCTGCCGCAGCTCCGCCCACCTCACTGAGCGTGGCCAGCGCTGGCGTGAGCCCTGGGACGATGGACCCCGTCGGGCCCCACTGAGGGCAGAGGAGGGAACGAGGACTTGAGGTGCGTGGGCCTCGTCCAGTGGCCACGACCCGTGTTCTGTGCACAGGAAGCCGTGTCCTTGCTGGGCTTTGCAGGAGGCCAGAACCAGCCCAGTCTCTGCAGCCTCGGGAGTCGGGCTGCAGAGGTGGCCACGTGCCCCTCGCCGTGGGCTGGTCCACACGTCCTTCCTGCCCGTCTCTGGAAAGGGCGAGCCCCTTCCCACGGAGTGCCCGGGCCAGCGGCAGGGCAGCAGCACGGGACCCAGGGGACTCCCCAACCCAGCAGACGGGAGGTCCCCAGGCCACAGGAAACGCAGGGGGCTGACCAGCGGGGCAGGGGGAGAGCGGTCACGACCCGGCGACACCCTGCGTGTGTAAGCTCTGTGCACACTTGGGGTGTGTTTTGTATTTCACATGAAAACGGTTATGGAAAATTTTCAAAATGTGAGCCACCTCTCACTTACAGAAAGACAGTCCTGTGACATTGGGAGGAAAAAGCGGGTGAATAATGGCCTCGCGCTGGAGGGGCCTCTGCTGGGGGCTGCGGCAGGACACGGGCTGGTGACTCACCCTGTGATCACCCAGGAACATCAGCAGGTGGGGGGCAGAGCCTCTGAGTCACCGCGGAGCGGCCTGGGGCGGGTTTGGAGACACGACATTTGTCATTTAAATGTCAAAGCCTTCGCTGGAATGCCGCGGCAGACAGCAATTACCAGGCGAGCGTGCCCGCCCACCTGCGCCAGGAGAGGGCGTGGGAGCAGCCCAGGAAGTCACGCTGCCTCACGCAGCTCCGTGGCCCTGCCACCTGGGTCCTCGGCCTGCCCCGGGCTGCGGAGGTGTGCCGTCCCTAACCAGCCATGACACAGGACTCTGTTAAGTTGCCGCCGGCCTCCCTAAGTTGCTGAGGCTGGCGCGGAACTTGCCATCCTCCTGCCTCAGCCTCCCCAGCGGCTGGGACGACAGGCGTGCGCCACCCGGTCCGCCTCGGTGCTCATGTCCTTAACGGCGGATTTTGGAAGGGACAGGTGTCCTTCCATGTTCCCAACTTGCTTTTTGAAACGGTGCCCAGGAAATACCTGCCCACTCCCACCTCATGAGGGTGTCCTTTCAAAGTCCTCTGGAAGGCCCCGACCGACAGCCAGGTCTGCAGTGCGTCCAGCACCGCCCGCCGGGTGGCTGGTGCCCTCGGGGCTGGCTGCCTGCGTCCTCTGGGCCCTGGGTTGCCCTGCTGTCTCCAGGGCTGGCCCTGCCCAGCGGGTCCTAACCCAATGGGAAGCCCCCGATCTGTCCTCTCTGTTCCAGTGGCTGAGTCGCTGGGGTCTGAGGGACGGTCACTTCCTGCAGAAAGCGGTGCTGGGTGTGACCTGCTGTGGAGGCCAGCGTGGGCAGAATGACCGGCCAGCACCGCCGTTCACGCCACAGGAGCCCTAACTCGCGGCTCCCCGGTCTCAGGTCCCACGGCCGTGGCCTGCGGTCAGGTCTGCCCTGGGGACCAGGTGTCGGTGGGGCTGGCCCTGGTTTCCTGATGGACCGTGGAGGGTCAGGTCCACGTCGTGTCCGTCTCCCTCACAGTCAGACGTCAAAGCACCTCGCCCACGGCTGCTCCCCTCCTTCCCAGACCCAGGCTCACAGTCGGGTGGGCAGAAACGCGGCCTGGTGACCTTCACGGGCCGCCCCCGTGAGTGGCTGTCCCGCGTCTCTGTGGGCTCACCCTGAGGACGGTACGGAAGTGACAGCAGACAGAAACGGGGTCCTCCCCCCTCCCGGTGGCAGTGCCGGGTGGCAGATCTGCCCCACGCCCCAGAGACGCTGCCCACGCGCAGCCGCGCAGAATCCCGCCTCGCCTCCCGCGCACACGGGTGAGACCACGCAGGGCCGCGCAGTGCCACTGCCCTTGACCCGTGACGATGCCGTCAGGTGCGGACCTTGTGCAGGTCGGTGCCGTCCATCCCCGCGGGGCTCTCTATCAGGACGTGGGACCCGCTCGCCCCTTTCTCTCTGTGGGGAGCCTTCCGCAGCGCGAGGACCCGGGACGTGGGGTCAGCTGTCCTCCTAGGACAGGGGGCTCCTTTGCTGCCTTGTCCCCGGGCCCCAGGAGGCTGCATGAAGTCCCTCGTGCGCCCTGTGTGAGGGGAACCTGGGCCACCGCAGGGTCCTTCTGGAAGGGACGCCGTGGAGCCGGCGCAGACCAGCTGTCACGCACCTGCATCTGTGATCGGCGCTGACTAGCCCCTGGGTTCAGGCCGGAGGACAGTGGGCCTGTGGAGAGGACCCCCGGCCTCTGGCAGTGACCAGTGCCCAGGCAGAAGCAAGGAGCTGGACAGGCTCAGACACCGAGGAGGACCCCAGACTGGAGAGTGGCAGAGGCCTGCCTGGCTGCAGAGGGCGTGGCTGCATCCCCAGCACCACAGGCAAAGCACAGCGAGGGTGGAGGCCCGGGGCGGAGGCTGGAGGGGCCTCTCAGGCAGAGGTCTCCACAAGTTGTCAAACTGCTTGTTTAGCAACTTGAAAGGGATTTTTAGCAAATTTAAAACTAAGAACATTTAAACGATTGTAACGCACTTTTACAGTCTCACTCCTCGGGGACCACAGTACCCTGTTGGGAGTCACTAGACCAGTGTCGTGTGCAATTTCATTAATTTTCTCCATGAACATTTATTGAGCACTTAGTGTGTGCAGGGGCCAGGTTAGGGACAGCTGCATTCCGGAGCTGGGAGAGGCAGGCTTTAGTGACAGCCTCGTCCCTGGCCTCCACCTCCCCACCACCTTGTGGTTTCCATGGGAACCACCCGAGGTGCCCCCCTGCTCTCCGGCGTCCAGTGCTGGGGTGGAAGGTTGGTGAGAGGCCTCCTCACGTGGTCTGGCTTTACTGGGCCACTGCAGTGGGCGTCTCTGCGGAGACCTGGAGAGCCACGGGCCGGGTGCTGCTTCGCCACACACTGGGTGGCTGGCTCGGGTCGCCTGGAGGCTGGGGCTGGAGGCCCGGCAAGGTGTGGCTGGCTGGTCCCTCCCCAGGGCCCTCGTGTTGCCTGTCTCCACTGGATCCCCCCCACACTGTGGGTGACTAGGCTCCCTCCCAGGACCCCACCTCAACCATTTCCCTCTGACATCACCACCTGGATGACCTTGAGGGGCCACCTGGATGACCTTGAGGGGCCGGATCCGCCCGTGGCAAAGTCCTGCAGAGGCTCAGTGTCCCTGCAGCGGGGACCTGCTGGGTCACAGGACCTCTGCGTCCACCTCAGCCACTCACGGCTTCCCGTAGGTGACGGGCACCGCTGGACACAGACCACGACAGACTCGTTCACGTGCCCTGGGACCTGACCGTCCACCGTCCCTTGCTAGTGAAACAGTCCCCCAGGGCCGAGGACCCGCTGCTTGGGACACTTTGAGTTTTGACCTGGCATTTTGGAGCTGTCCCATCCACAGAGTCAACTTGTGTCACGAGCCACCGTCCAAATCACATGTCATCGCATCCGACGGGCCCGGACGGGAAATCAGCCAGCACCTGCGGCTCCCACGCTTCTAGACGTCCCCGCAGCTGCCCGTCACCGGCCACCCAGGGGACAGAGACCTCACCTCCCCAGGTTGTCTTCTCCCCTCCCAGAGGACAGTGTCTGCAGGGACCAGGGACCAGGGCCAGAGAGGAGCCGGAGCCAGAGCCTGGCCACAGGGATCCTGGTCCTCAGTGACGCTACTGGGGACCGAGTCACCAACAGACATCAGGTCCTCGGGCAAGCCCAGAGGGGGCACACAGCACAGCACACCACAGCACACCACACAGCACACCACACCACACCACAGAGCACACATCACACACCACACACCACACCACACAGCACAGAGCACACCACACCACACACTACACCACACACTACACCACACCACAGAGCACACA